TACACTCGGAGGTTTGCCATTGCCTGCCGAGGGACGACCGCTGTTAAGAAAAAACCTTTTTCTATATATTTTGCGATGCTGCTTTGACCAGGGCTTGAACCCAGGCGTTGCGGAGTGGAAGCGCGCACTGCTTACCACTACACCACAGCGGCGTTAACTGACGTTAATGTTTTGAAATTTTGTTGTGAACGGTCTTGTTCTTTTTATTTCATAAGAAATTCATATTTATATGAAAAAACAGTGCAAAAATCCCTCAGCAAAAGAAAAGTATTAAAAACCAACGCGATTTTTTAGACGCTTGAAACTAGCACTTCATCGGACTAAAATATCATGGTCTAAAAACCCGCATACCAAAGAATTGTTTATAAAATTTGAAACTTTGATTTATGTGGTTTTGGTTAAAACTCAGTAAATATTCGTATAGAAGAACAAAAAAGGTTTAACTTCAAAAATTTAGAATTTATTTAGAAAAGGCAACACCTGAACATCTGTATGGGTCACTGTATGTACTTACGGTCAGTATCAAAAGTTAGTATACACCTTGTTCTAATATAATATTCGCAATTATTTTTATGGAAAATTATTTTCATTAATAATTTATGAAAACATGGTTCTTCTGTAATATCTATATATATAAAAAAGGATGTATGTATGTATGTATCTATGCAGCTTATAGACTCCGAAACCATTCAGCCGATTTTGTTAAGCCAGGATAGCTTCATAGAAACTCGGAGAGTGTTCCTGTGAAGTTTGGCTATTTTTGAAAGAGTTGCCACCTGTCAGAAAAATAAAATTTATTTAAATATGCAAGTAAAGTAAGTATAGATATCAAATGGAAGGTATTTGAGAAAGATATTTAAGAAAATTTACATCAAAAAATATTTTAATAAGTGTTGCCACCTGGTCGAAAAGTTAAAAATAATGAATATCTAATGCAATTCACATCAAATATTGCAATATGGGTATCAAACGGAAGGTACCAAACATATTTTTGAGTAGCGTTGCCACCTCTTTCAAAAAAAGTTAAATGACATAAATGTGTGTATTAAAAAGTATTTCGCAGGATACGTATCAAACGGGAGCTATTGGGAAATGTTTCAGTTAAGACCAATTATCGTATAGAGTGTCCACATACTTAAAAAAATACAATCGGATAATATTTTTAAGAAATACCAAAGATTTAGAGTGTGATAAACTTCAAAGTCTGTCAAACCGAAAGCTTACCAGAAAGAAAATGCCGAATCCAAATTTTTAAATCTATATGTGAACATATGTATGTATGTTAATGCCAGAGTTGTGTAAATTTTCACCAGGTTGCAATTTAAAAACGGAATTTGTTTAATAGTTAAAAACCAAAAAAGTACTCGATATTAATGCATAACTTTTGTTTCTTATTGAATAAGGCTTAAAAAAAATATAATAAAATTTGCAATAAAAAATTTTGTAATATTTTTTCCTAATGCGCTTACGAGATTTTGCTTGCATAATTTTCCTAAATTTGGGTGTATAAATTTTGGTATTTTTCCACAACATTCATGAAGAGAATACCTACATAGAAAACACTTTGTTACCTAAGTTCACATAAATAAAGGGTTTAAAAATTTCAAATTATTTGGGAGGAAAGTACCTGCAGAATTATAGCATTCGGTTTTATTTTACGGTTGAAGGTAGCTAAATATTGTTTACAAGAGTATATTTTGTTTCCCAAGTTTACCTAAACAATGGCTTCATAAATCTTGGGATTTTTCCACAACATTCTTGAAGAAAATACCTACGTACAAAGAAATTTTTCTGTATACACTAATTCAGATAAACAAGAGGTTGCGAAAGTCTACCGATTTTTTTTAATTTATTGCAGGAAAAGTACCTGCAGAGAATATCTTCTGCTGTTTGCACACGTTTTAGCATAGATAAACTATAAGGATTTTTAATCTTTTTAAGTGGAAGGTACCTTCAGAGGACATATTTATATTGTTTGCCTGAGTTACATAAATATAAGGTCGCATAGCTAATACATTCGCTCATAGCAAGTGTAGACACTGCGCAAACGATAGTGAATTCTTTTTCATCTGAGATCAGTTCAACATACAGAGTATTATTATTTACATTCACAAAAAAATAAAATCATGCCACCAAAGAAAGCATCAATTGGAAGAAAAAACCCCAAAACAAAAAATTCGAATGAATACAGAGCGGCGGAAACGGAAGATCAACGAAATGTCCGACTTCAACAAAATCGAAACAGAGAGACAAGCTCGAGAAATGTGGAAACGGAAAACCAGCGTGAATCTCACCTCCAGCAAAATCGTGTGAGAGCTTCAACCTCCAGAGACGCTGAAACCCTGGA